TATAGCAGTCAATTCAACAACAAAATTCTTTGGCTTTCTTCCCTTTTCCAGTTCCTTTGCCCATTCCCTCAGAGTACTTCCTGATACAGCCTTTCAAAGAAACGTAGACACAATCCTTGGCTCATGGTCTGATTTGGAAGGAGCCCAAACTAATAGAGATTCCCAGTTCATGAACTTAAGACACTGCCCACAAAGTGGAAGAGGTTTTTAATCTTCAGAACACACTCTCAGCAAATAGAAAATGGGAAGTTCCATGATAAGTTCCACCCATTCCTCCCCTCTCCACCTCCTCTATCACCACCGCCACCACCAGCACCTCCCAAAAGGTTGCCCCAGCTGATCACCATCATTTCCTAACGAAGAACATAAAAAAAAAACAACAACAAAAAACAGTCGACTCAAGGGAATACTAAGCTTGCCTGTCTGTGTACACTGGCATCCTGGGAACTCTGAGGTCAGTGTGCAGATTTGCAGAGCTCACAGGTGTCCCAATCATAACTAGTTAACTAGTTTGTTTGGACATTTGCTGCTTCTGCTGCTGCTTTGTCTGCTTCCACCAGCCTGTCCAGCCTGGGAGTGGAAAATTGTCACATCCCTTCGCAGACCCACAATGAGGAAGCTGTACATTAACATGTGGAAGTATATTTCCTAAGTCACAGCTCTGACAAGGAAAAGTGGCAAGTTGCATTCTGAATAAAAATGTATAAACCCTTTTTATTTTTTCAATTGTGTTGACTATAGAGGATGGATTGGCAAGATATGAGCCATGATTTTTCCACTCTCAGACCCAGCTGGCATCTCTCCACCCTTTCATCTCCAAGTTCTATGTTAGATGTTAAAAGTGGTCCTTAAAGAGAAACAATCCCATGCAAATAAGTAAGAGTTCTGAGAAACCAGAGAGGTCAATGTTGTAAATAGAATCAATATCTTCTCTGTATCCACCCAATCTAAAGGAAGCCAAAACAGAAAGACAGGCTGTTTCTGGTCCTCATTTGAGAAAAAAAAAAAATGAATATGGCTTAAAAGATAATGGCTACCTTGCTTATGTCCCAAATATGAAAATAATACAGTTAAGTCTTTTTAAGAATGAAAAATATTCTAAAATTACTTAAAATTTCTGTTCTGCCTTTCTGAGTACATGATGCTTGAGTTATTTATTTTTTATGGAATTGGTGGTAAAAGCACAACAAGGATGTTCTGAAAGGAATATAAAGCACACCTGACATTCAAAAACAGGATTTTTTTTTTTTTTATTTGAGACGGAGTTTCGCTTTTGTTACCCAGGCTGGAGTGCAATGGCATGATCTCGGCTCACCACAACCTCCGCCTCCTGGGTTCAGGCAATTCTCCTGCCTCAGCCTCCTGAGTAGCTGGGATTACAGGCACGTGCCACCATGCCCAGCTAATTTTTTGTATTTTTAGTAGAGACGGGGTTTCACCATGTTGACCAGGATGGTCTCGATCTCTTGACCTTGTGATCTACCCGCCTCGGCCTTCAAAGTGCTGGGATTACAGGCGTGAAAAAACAGGATTTTATAGCAAGACAGTAACCTTCCAAGCCGGGCAACTGTCATTACAAAGCTCTATATAAACGACTTTATTTTCCCTTTTAGAACATTAAGGGCTAGACTTGAAAGGAGTGAAAGCTTGTCTACTCTAGAGTCAGGGAATCCTGTGAAAGAGGAATTAAGAGAGGCGTGAAGGAGAGAAAAGTGAAGACTGCATTGGGTAAGTGCAGCTAACTGCAAGAGCAGAGCGTAAGGGGGATATTGCCCTTCACTCTCCCGTTTCCCTTTTAGGACCTGGAAAGTGATCACCTGTCAGGGGATCCCTGCTCCAAGTAGGGCACAGCCAAAGACACTTAGTGAACTGTGTGCGTGATGCCAACAACCACCGGAAACTGGACTGAGCCAACATTTAATGTGAAGTAAGAAACGTTAGTCTTTACATTTGAGAGCCATACTGGTCAAAACTGCCAAACCATGATTCTGTGACCTTAGGCAGGCTGCTTCGCTTCTTTAGGTCTCTGTTTCCTGGACAGTTACATGCAACGATTCAAAGAGGTTTTAAAAAGGGACCACTGTGAAGGGGAATTGGGGGTGGGGGCAAGAAAGAGGTCAGCGGATGGAGCTCCATGCCCTCCTTCACTACCGCAACCAAAGGAGCTCCCTTTTTGTCAATTGTATATACGTTCATGTATCACTTAATGACCAGGTTACAATCTGAAAAGTACGTCATTAGGCGATCTGTTGTGCAAACATCACAGAAGGTGACTGGAATGGCCTTCCATTCCACACAAACTGGTTTGGCCACACAAGACTGGTTTGGCCACACAAACCTGGAATGGCCTCCTGTACACCCAGGCTACATAGCGTGGCCTATTGCTCCTAGGTACAAACCTATACAGCATGTTACTGTATGTGAGTGTAACACAGTGGTAAGTGTGTATCTAAATATAGAAAAGGTACAGTAAAGTTACAATGTTATAATCTTATAGGACCACTGATGTTTCTGTGGTTTTTCATTGACCAAAACAGTATTACATGATGTATGACTAAATTTTCACTTAGAATGTTTCAAGGCTTTAAAAATACTGGTTAGGAACCCGTGGATGAGATGACCTTCGAAGTCTTCTTCAGGTTTCATTTCCCTCAGTCCAGACCTCCTTTGCAGCATCTCCCCCATTCCTCAATCTCTCAGTGCCTTTCCATCGTCCCCTGGCAACTCAGATGCTCTTGGAATGAGCATTTACCACAATGGGCTTTCCACCTGCACGCATCTGCTATGATCTGAATATCTGCATCCCCCCCAAGATTTATATGTTGAAATCCCAACCCCCAGTGTAATGATATTAGGAGTGAGGCCTTTGGGAGGTGATTAGGTCATGAAGGCAAAGCATTCATGATTGGGATTAGGGCCTTTGTAACAGAGACACAGAGAGATCCCTCACCCCTTCCACAAAGTGAGGACACAAGGACAGAACCCCGTCTATGAAGTGGTCTCTCACCAGACACTAAATCAGCTCACACCCTTATTCTTGGACTTCCCAGCCTCCATAACTGTGAGAAATAAATTTCAACTGACAGTTTATAAACCACCCAAAGCACAGTATTTTGTTAGTCTGAGCTCACTAAAATGACTGGTCTAAACTTCAGGCCCAGCAACGAAGGGACAATGCCTGTGATGACTGGGGACTTTGAATCCTGCTTCAGCACTGTGGTCATGCCCAGCCATTCCTGTTATTAAAACAGGAAAACCACCTGATAGGGATTATCCGCACTGGCTTCAATGTCGATGGTGATGACTGTGAGCCCTGGAGCTGCATTACGAGGAGAACAGATGCTTCTCTCTACAAGGGAAGTTGTCTACTCTTTCCTCATTCTGGCCACACCCTGCCTCCCAACTTCCCTCATGCAGAAAACAAACAGATAAAAAAACAAAACAAAGAAAAAACAACAAAAAAACTTCAGTCTTATTCTAGAGATGCCTATAACTGTGTTTGGAATATCAGCCTTGGCATTCACATTCCAGAAGAACTCTGACCCTTTCTTGATTCTTCTCCAGATCCTTGGCCCCAAAATATACTCACCTTCATAGGAGCCTCATTTAGTCAGCCTTTAGTAACTAATGCGGTAAGTGATCTATTATCATGCTACAGAATTAATGAAGCTTTGGACTGGAGGGAGTGGAATAATTGGAATTTCCTAGGAAGTTTCAATCTGTATCTCCAAGCAGAGAAAGGACTCTGGACTGAGACAGTTTTAAATCCAAACCCAACAGCCTCAGGTATTCCCACACAGCTCTCACACCCCCATTGCCAATCACAGGGATGCAAGCAGGCTGTGCATTCTAGAAAAGAGGTGCCGGTGAGTGAGACAACTTTTGCCTCCAGCAAAAAGAACCACGAGTTTACAGTTTGATGTGCCTTGCCAGGAAAGGTTTGTATTTTTAATCCAAATCACTGAAACAAACAAACAAAAAAGGAGTAACTCTAGACTTCTGGAACAAGGCTAAAAAGAGATGTTTGCAGTGGGTCACCAAGATGTCCTTGTATAAGCAGGGCCTCCTTCTCCAGTGGCTCTCAGCGTCGGAGGTGCCCTGGCCTGGGTTGAACCTATGTCATTGTTCTGCAGAGGTAAGGGCTAGTCAGTGTCTGATGGTATAACTTTGTGAACGCGGATTCTGGCTGGTGTGGATGACCTATCTTAGGTTATGCCTGTGTACCTAAGCCCTCAATTCCTGTTAAAAGGCAAGTTCTCAGTATGTAATGAAAATGTATGAGCCTTAGGTTAAAAATGAGTGCTGGAGTCATCAAGTCAGTAGGATCAAGTACTAGATTCAGAAGCTATGGACTGTCCAAAAATCACATGGTTTGATAGGGGTTGGAGAAGGGTTATAAAAGCAAAGATAGAACATGATCCCCATTTTGTACTTGTGTTTAGCTGGTGTCTATGTGTTGAAAAGATGTGTGTGATGAGGACAGGGAGGTGATGAGAGCAGAGGTGGAGGATGTGAGGGTGGTGAGGTGATATGGGGGGTATGCGTGGCGTGTAAAAAGGAGCAGGAAGCATGTGGGAATGATGTGCTCACACATACACAGTGTGTGCATGCATGTATAGTCCTGCACACTAGAGTAGGTGCCTGGATGTCCAGAACCTAAAAGTTTGGTGTTGAAAGCAAAAAGGAACTAGAGTGCTCTATCCCCTTGGCTCGCACTGCCACAAGTTCCTAGGAGAAAGGACTCTGGACTGAGACAGTTTTAAATCCAAACCCAACACTCACTAGCTGAGGAAGCTTGACCAAGTTATTTAGCCTCATAACATTACTTCCTTATCTATAAAATAAGGACATTTCTTGGCATCCATAAAGGGCTGAGCACAGTAAAACAAAGAGGATCAATAAATAATAACTTTTAAACATTAGCCCATTTCTCAAAACTGATTCCCAAAAGAAAGTGCACCATGGCAGCAAAATAACCTCCAAAACAGTGACTTTTAAAATTCATTTATATTCTATGCCTTCTTTATTTTTAAGAGGTTGTTTGGTAGGTGGGGAGAGGATGAGGATAGAGTCCACAAACAATTCTCGATTACCTGGGGCTCCCGGGACTAAGAACAGGCTGAAAACATGAAATCCCCAGGGTGATGCTCCTCAGTGGTTCCAACTACCGCAACCTCCAAGCAGTCTCCCTTGTAAGCAAGTAAGCTGACAGGAGCTGGTCACTTTCGTGTGTCGGGTCCCACTCTCTGACCATGGTGCCGGCAGGACATGCAGCAAAAGACCTGGACTGTGCGCTGAGTGTGGTTTGCCTTGTGGCACTGGGGACGTGTTTGAGCCTGGTGGTTTCCGTACTTCTTTTGTTCTTAACATCAAAATCAATCTCTGTTTTCAGCATTGTGGGGTTTGATTGCAATCACTGGAGATTTAGCCAGTAACGACTTTGGAATTATAAAGCAAATACATAGTGTAAATATGAGGCCTATGTTACTTTATAAATGATCGGGAGTGCTTCTTAAAAACAATTAAAAAGTAATTCTGGGGCCGGGCGCGGTGGCTCACGCCTATAATCCCAGCACTTTGGGAGGCCAAGGCGGGTGGATCACGAGGTCAAGAGATACAGACCATCCTGGTCAACATGGTGAAACCCCGTCTCTACTAAAAATACAAAAATTAGCTGGGCATGGTGGCGCGCGCCTGTAATCCCAGCTACTCAGGAGGCTGAGGCAGGAGAATTGCCTGAACCCAGGAGGCAGAGGTTGTGGTGAGCCGAGATCGCACCATTGCACTCCAGCCTGGGTAACAAGAGCGAAACTCCGTCTCAAAAATAAAAAAAAGTAATTCTGAAACATCAGTCACAGTCACCCAATGATTTCTTCTCATACTACCAGAAAGTTCCTACTATAAAGTCAGAGACCATCACTAATTAATTACATAAGAATATGACAACGTTGATTATGGTCCTAAAAGTAAAAGTAATATACAGCTCTCGTTTTTGCTTTACTTTTTCTCTGTATTGTCTCTAGAGCTTTTTCCTGCCAATGCTCCTCCATCTGTGGAGTTACTGTGACATGAATAGTGTTGGAATTCTCACCGGTTCTAACTGCTGGCTTCTCCATAGGAATAGATACCACTTTCTATGCAGTAACTGGCTACCACAAGAGGACCTCAGGCTTTATTTGGAAGCGTCTTGTGGTTATCATAGCTGGCACCACCAATGCCATCTAGTATATTCATGGGCAGAGGAAACACAATCGTAGAATTCTTCTCGGTGGCTACGGTGCTCAAGGTCTGCAGGTAACGCAGCTGGAGAGCGATGGGAGACTCGGCCAGCACCATGGAGGCTGACTTCAGGTATTTGGAAGCGTTCATTTCTCCTTCAGCTGCAAGGACCTGAAAGGACAGGAATAAAACCATTCAGAAATAAGAGTTTACACTGTAACCGGTGCTTCCTTTTTCTTGATTTGTTTTGATGCCTCTCTCCCCGGCCCCCATGTTGCCACATGTTTTTCATTTATTTCTTTGGCAGGGATAAAAGACACAGCCAAAACCCAACGGCATGTTACATCCAGACCCATTTCACATGCAAGGATACACAAAGACTCAAAACAAAGGGATGGAGAAAGATTTACCAACCAAATGGAGAGCAAAAATAAATAAATAAAAAGCAGGAGTTGCAATTCCCGTATCGGATAAAATAGATTTTAAAGCAATAAAGATATCGTGGTAAAAGGATCAATGCAACAAGAGCTAACGATCCTAACACCCAGATACATAGAGACTTAGACACAATGAGACAGAAAATTAATAAGGATATCAAGGACTCGAACTCAGATTCGGAACAAGTAAACTTAATAAATATTTATAGAGCTCTCCACTTCAAATACACAAAATATACATTCTTGTCAATACCACATCACACCTACTCATAGGTTTAAGTGAAACATTGATTGGCCATTATTAATACCCATTTTTTTCAGAATAAAGCAACATTTCCGTTCACCCTCCCTCTTTCTCTTCCCCTTTACTCCTTTTTTTTCTCTCCTTCTCTCAAAAAAAGAAATCAACTTGTAAACCTCTAGATCCAAGTTGGCAATATCTCTCTATTGCTTGATTTCCTTCCTTCCCTTCTCTCCCTCCCTCCCTCCCTCCCTCCCTCCCTTCCTTCCTTCATCCCTTCCTTCCTCCCTCCCTTCCTCCTTGCCTCCCTTCCTGCCTCCCTCCCTTCCTCCCAAAAAAAAAAAAAGAAAATGAGTTTCAGTTTCACTTCCTAACGTAATTAGAGAAATTCAAGGAGGTTGCAGGAAGCAGCGAGGGATATTTTACAAATCATAGGTCCCTAGATTTTATTGTCAAACAAAAGTAAAAGTACTCTTTTAAATACAAATGAATACTTGGCGTCTACCCTACTAATGCGTTGAAGCACTTTGGAGCCTCACTAAGTGCATTCATTTCCAGAGAAGTCTGAAATGTAAGGTCTCTAATTGATGCTTTTATCATTTTTACTTATCTTAGATGTTTTTAGTTCATTCTGTTGCCACCTTGGTGTCATTCTTACAAACCGAGATGGTTTCTAGTTCTCTTGGCTCTTGATTACAACTAGCAGTAAGTGCCAGCCTTATAACACTGGCAATCTCTTAAGGACCTCATTCTTTCTAGTTCTCAGACTGTCCAAGTATGACTCAGCTGCCCCATCTGTGGCCATCTGCCTGTGTGCAAAAGTGATCTCTCTTCTCTCATTGCCGAGTCCCTTCTTGGAAGCTGCTGGAGCTTAGCAGATAAACCAGATAAGAGTCAGAAATGAGTCAAAGAAACACATTCATCAACTAACAAGTGAGTTTCCAAAGAGGATACATCAAGGCTTCGGATCCCAGTTGGTTTCTGATACTTCAGGAAACGTATCCACACAGACATGAAAGCCAGGACCTCAACAGACGCAAGGCATTCAGGGCCAGCGTGCGCTTACATGTTGTAATTCTTACCTGGATTATATTTAATTGCCCCCTTTTATTCCAGCAACATTTAAATATACTCGAACAATAATGTGCAAAAAACAGACTCCATGTTGGCTACATCTAAGTCACCAGCTTTATGAAAATACAGGTTTCTTAGTCCACTAGAGACTGCTTTGAGCCTGGGTTTGAAGTAAGGCTTGGAAATTGGTGTTTTGTTTTGTTTTGTTGTATTCTTCCCAGGGAACACCGATACGTGGTTAGAATTGGGACCTGCTTGGCTAAATTGCTCAGTGTGTTACTGAGCAGCCTCTTAACCCAAGACCTGCTACCAAAGTTCCTCAAGGTACAGTAAGCTGCTTGTTACCTTTTAATTCAGGGAAATATCTCCGTAAGACTGAAAAGAAACCCCTTTCTTATGGAAATAATTGAGAGACCCAATCTTCTGTTCAAGTCCTATCCTTGTTGACCCCAACACGAGGCAGCTGTTTCTCCATGTGTGACTGCACAGCCCTTACCTTGGCCCTGGCCTCCCGCGTGGCCTCAGCCTCGGCAGCCATGGACCTCTGCAACTGCACGGGAATCCGAACATCTTTGATTTCCACTCGGGCAACCCGGATGCCCCACAGCTCAGTGGCATCATCAAGTAAAGTCTGTTTCCAAAGAAGACAGGTGATGTGATGTACATTTCTAATATGTTTCATACTTGCAAGATAAATTTTTCTTTCTTTCTTTTTGCATTTACAACATTTGGAGTGAGACAATTTCAGAAGAGAATAAGAGTTAACATTCTGTTGATCATTTTTTGGAATTTAAAGTGAATATCATTAAGAATTCGGGAATTTAACCTGGCAGATCTTTTAGTGGGTGTCTTATCAGCAGGATCTACCCTAAAACCATTCCCAAGGAAGTAGGTGAGATCCATCTGGATTTGAGTAAATATCCCAGATTTCCTTGTCACTGGTTTCAAGCAGGCAGCAATTCGTGGGTTTCTCTGACAGACCTGGATTTTGCATTGGCTCTGCCATGTGCATTTGTGAATCACCGGGACAGTTTCTTAACTTATCTGGCTCTCAGTTTTCTTACCTATAAAATGTTTTCTTTCAGGACTGTTATTAGATTTGGAGACAATACATAGATACCTCTCAGTACCTAGGAATGACTCAATGCATATTGTGATTGGGTCCTTTTCAAGATACCATTTATCTTGCTCTGTTTAACTTCTGCCCTATGGCCAGCTTTAAAGAAGAAGCAAGGCATATTTTTCAAAGTAGAAGCAGCTTAAAGTCAAAGATACTCTTGTCTTTTGTAAAAGCTGTAAAACCATTGAAGATATTTTGCTGGTCATCCTGGAGAAGATGAATGTCTTGAGGAATGATAGGATCAGGATAGCTCCCCTAAAGGGTGGGGGCAGAGATCTCTGCTACCAAATAGCAAGTGATCCCTCCCCTGCCTTTCTGTGATCCCTGCAGGACACTGACAGGTAATGAGACCTCACAAGAAGTCAGTGACCTGGCTGTAGATGGGATACCTTTGAGTTGTTAAATTCACGAGGCACATATAAACATCATGGGGAATTATCATGCAGGACTCATACTGCCACATAAAAGCTTGGGAACTTTCCTCTACCTTAGGGACTAGAGGAGAGGCCAAGAAGAACCAAAGCTGAATTTCCTCATATAATTAACTTACAGAAACGAAGCTCAGAATCCAAATGCAACTGATCAAAGAAAATACAGAAGTATTCTTGTCCAGCAACTAGCGTGTGTAAGAGATGAGATCGACAGCTGTTACATCTTCATTGATATTATAATTATCATTACTATTAATGTTACTAGTGATGTTGGTGGCATGGTGTAAGAATTTCTAGAGATGACAGGTCTATGCTGTTTCAAATGAATTTAACTTTCATACTTTATTTAAATATATAGGCACCCAGAGAACCAGGCTGCGTATATATTTAAATATATAGGCAACCAGGCTGCATTTCTGGAGTCATCTAAACTAAAAATAAATCTGATCTCTAACTTCTTCAGAAAAGATTATAGCTGTACAATGTTAATTCATAATTTCAAATTCCAAAGAAAATGGATAAACTGCCTTCTTGCACTCAGATATTTAAATACATTTCTTGTGGTAACAAGTAAGTGAAATCACGACTGAAGCTCACCTCTACAGCAGCTGTCTGTGTGTGAGTGTGTATAAGCATGCATGTGGTGGGGGTTGCTTTGAACTGCTGCTATTTAATGATCACTAATAATTAAAACCAATGAATTAAAGATACAGTCTCCTAGTTCTCGGTGTCTTTACCTGGATGCTATGGGTAATCTCTTCTCGTCCAGCCAAGATCTGGGACAAGGTCTGTGTCCCTAAGACGTTTCTCAGAGTGGTTTGAGCCAGCAGAAATGTGGCTTGATGGACATCATTGACATTGGCCACTGCCGAGACAGCACTGTAGATTCTGTAATAGACAACTCCATCCACCTGAATAGTCACGGAGTCTCTGGTGAGGATCTGGAGAGCAAGAACAGGGCAACGTCACTTATTGATGACTTTCACCGCTACCGAGAAAGTGACAGCTGGCCCAAAAGCTGCCCTCCACAAAAGGAGAGCAGTAACGGCAACTCACGCTACAATCACCTAAAACCTGTCCTGGCTTGGAGAGAATATCTTCCTAGCCGACACAGAATTCCCCTAAAGCTGTCGTCATACCTACCCCTGTGACTTCTTCTTCAAGAAGATTGACATCCTACAGGCATAAACACTTAACTCGGCATGCCGAAGACAGGCCTTTCCAAGTGAAATGTAACAGTACAGCCCTTCTGCCAATTATCTCCAGTCTGAGCAGAGGTAGAACTTGTTTCCCTGACACCTGCGCTCTTTTTGGTTTCCAGTTTTTATCAGACTTGATGAAGCAGTGCTTCTTAGAAAACATAGATGGCACCAGAGACCATGTAAAGAAAAATCAATTTCGCTCTATGGAGAGGCTCAGCATTGTTCTGAATAACGTGACAAGGTTTGGGAGCAAATGAGAGATCTCTGGGTATACTATGGGAGCAGAACCTAGATCTATCCATAACAGAGCCAGTAAAGTCCCTACTGTAGGTCACTAAGCATCCCAGCCTCTCCTGACGGGGGCTGTTTTTTTTTTTTTTTTTTTGAGACAGAGTCTTGCTCTGTCACCCAGGCTGGATTGCAATGGCTCAATATCTGCTCACTGCAACCTCCACCTGCCTCAGCCTACTGAGCGGCTGAGATTACAGGTGCCTGCCACTATACCTGGTTGATTTTTGTATTTTTAGTAGAGATGAGAGTTCACCATGTTGGCCAGGCTGGTCTTGAACTCCTGACCTCAAGTGATCTTCCCACCACAGCCTCCCAAAGTGCTGGGATTATAGGCATGAGCCACCGCGCCCAGCCTGGGGCTGAATTCAAAAGCAAGTATTCTGCAGTTCCTAAGTGACAGGAAGACATCACCTCTGGGTCCTGGCTGAGTTTCTTGAACCAGAGAGAAGAAAATTCACATATATGTATAACTGTTGATTTTCTGCCTTCTTATCACCATTGGCCTCCCACATCCTAGGTCCTCCATTGCTTTTCCTCCAACCTGAATCACTTTGGTTATGAAGAGGTGACATGATAATTAGTAACTCTTCCTCTTCCCTATTGCTGAGTTACTGTTTTGGTCATTTACCTGTAGTACTTCAGGAATTAAAAGGCTCACTCCTGTAATCCCTGCACTTTGAGAGGCCGAAGTGGGCAGATCACCTGAGGTCAGGAATTCGAGACCAGCTTGGCCAACATGATGAAACCCTGCCTCCACTAAAAATACAGAAATTAGCTGTGCGTGGTGGCTGGCACCTATAATCCCAGCAACCTGGGAGGCTGACGCAGGAGAATTGCTTGAACCCAGGAGGTAGAGGTTGCAGTGAGCCGAGATGACATCACTGCCCTCCAGTCTGGGCAACAAGAGTAAAACCATCTCAAAAATAAAAAAAGACTTACGTAAACACAGGTGGGCCCTGTGCAGCCTCTCCTCTATCCTCCTGCTCCCTCTATTGCTTCCAAACACAGAAACGATTTAAAGTCAAAAGCAAATGTGACTCATGTAGATATTACTAAAAACTCTTCTGAGAAGGTGACAGAGAGGGTGGTATCAAAACCAGCCACTGTCTGTCAGATTCGATTCAGCTCCTTCATACAGTGACTGTCTATCTCGTCCAAGCCTCGGCTCTGTCATTCTCCAGCCCAGCTTCCCTGCTGACTAGATCTCTGCTGTCAGGCTTTCTCATGCCAAGCCTTTCCAAGTCTTCTAACGACTCACCCCTTGCTCTTGGCTTCATTCTCATTTGGCAAAACAAATTTGTAGTAGTTTCAGGAGCCACCAAGGGCGATTCAAGCAGGTCTCTGGGTTTACTCAGCTCATCCTCCCTCCTGTAGTTTAAAAGTGTACTATACAGCTGTAATTGTCCATGCAATAGGGAAAACACAAGTTTAGTTCTGAGTGACAGATCTTTAATCAGCACTACCTCTTGTGGGGGAATGTTGCAGGTCACTGTTCGGAGGTCAACTCTGACGAACACATCTATGCATGGCAGAAGCAGGATCAAACCTATGAGAAAAAACCCAGTTTAAAATGTTGCTCTGTAGAAAATAACTGCAAGTAGTCTCATAGCAACATGGTGCATCGTTTACATGGGGCTATATAAGTTTCTCGGGTGATCTTCAATATGAACACATGTCACTCTGAGGAAACTGATTTCTTCCTCTAAGTCAGTGACTAAGAAGAAGGAATTGCTGGGAAGTAGCTTTTGGTAAGAAGCTAAAGATCCCTGACATTTATTTTTTCATTTTCATGTTTTAAACAATCAACTTCTATCTAAGTGTTTAGTTTGACATTAATTAAAAATAATATTCTGACCAATGGTGAAAGCACCTTTGGGACAAGTGAGAAAATTGAACACAGAATGCATATAAAAAGATGTTAAGGCAGGGCGTGGTGGTTCAAACCTGTAATCCCAGCATTTTGGGAGGCCACTGAGGGTGGATCACCTGAGGTGAGGAGTTCAAGACCAACCTGGCCAACCTGGCCAGAGGTGAAACCTTACCTCTACTAAAAATTCAGAACAAAAAAAAAATTAGCTGGTCATGGTCACGCACACCTGTAATCCCAGCTACTTGGGAGGCTGAGGCAGGAGAATCGCTTGAACCCAGAGGGCAAAAGTTGCAATGAGCTGAGACTGTAACACTGCACTCCAGCCTGGGTGACAAGAGCAAAACTCCATCTCAAAAAAAAACCAAAAAAAACATATATTAAGGTATTCTTGTTCATTGTACTGGTTGTGTTAATGGCATGTGTCTTAGTCTGTTCAGGCTGCTATAACAAAATACCATAAACTGGGTGGCTTATAAACAACAAGTTTATTTCATATAGTTCTGGAGCCTGGGAAGTCCAAGATCAAGGTGCTCATAGATGCAGTGTCTTGTAAGGGCTTACTTCCAGGTTTGTAGATGGTCATGTGGTGTCCTGGGAGGGACAAGGCAGCTCTCTGAGACTTCCTTTACAAGGGCACTAATTCCACTCGTGAGGATGACTCCCTTACACTCTAGTTACCTCCCAGGGGCCCCATCTCCTAATATCATTGCATTGGTGATTAGGTTCAACTTATCAATTTTGGGGGGCCACAAATACTCAGACCACAGCAGCATGGTGTTAATGTTAATGAAGTCCTTATCAGCTACATATACAGACTAAAGTGTTTGCAAGTAAAATGACATGATATGGTATTTTGTATTTGCTCTAAAATACTCCACTAAAAAAATAAAATATTTTGGAAAGTAATATCCTTATAATTAAGACACTTACATAACAGATTCAAGTAATAGACTCTTGGCTTTGAGTATCAGTGACTGCCAACATTCTCAGTCAATTTAAAAAGTAATGAAGGATAATTGAACTAAAATCTTCCCAGGATCTCACGTTCCCTAAATCAATGTATTCCAGAATTAATAGCTTCTCCGCAGCCATGTTCTAACGCATGTACAGTGGCATTTCCCAATTGTAAACACATCTACTCCTTTCTTATTTGTAAGGCATTAAGTTGGGGCTGAGTCAGGGAAGGATGGGTGTAAGAAGGATCATTTGAGGACCCTTGGAACTCTTGACGTTACCCTGGTGAATGTTGCTTCTTTACTGTGAGAGTTACAAAGGTTAGAACCACAAGGCATGTTAGCAAGACGGGGGCACTAATCTATTTCCATTCATCAAGAAGGCTTTGCATGATTGTTTCTGTTCTCATGGCAGAAACCAGTTTTAAGGCCGAACACCACGTAAAGGGGAGGCAGTATCAGCAAAACACGCTGCTAAGGTGCTTTCTTTCTTTTGGCCTCGAAACCTTACTTCCATTTTTGATGCCAGGCCATGGTGGTTAAGATCATGGACCTGAGAACTAGATAGAGTTAAGTTCCAGCCCTAAAACTTAGTAGTCTTGTGACCGGAAAAAATTCACGTAATGGTTTGATTACCTAATACATATCAGCCGGTAGTGAAGCCTAAGCATGGTTCCACATGCTAATGAAATAACGTACTACACACAGCGCCAGGTATGTATTAAATGCTCATGAAGTGGCAGCTATTATTCAAGAATAATTTACAATTTATAAAATTGGAGAGGTTTTCCATGAGCAATTTGGCTTGTTTCCCTCTTGGCCTTGTGACATTCTGAGGTAACTCACTAACCCCAGAGACATGTATGACGAGAGTTGTTATCCTGAGACATTTAATAGTAAAATCTTTGGGGAAAATTCATTTAGAAGTGATATATTTTTCTCTAGAGGCTTCCTAGTTCTGGTTGTTCTGCTTCTCTCAGATCCAATTTTACTGTAACTTATAATCCTAACCCCACTGGGTAGAACATGGCCGGGAAGAAGTTAGCCTTGTGCTGTGATACCTCACTTGGATGACTCTTGCTTTGCCAAACTCATGAGAACATTTATAAGTAGTTTTGGCCTTCTTTTTCTCAGGTCCTTTATAAAATTAGACAAGTAAGGTTATACTTGAAATGGCTGCTCACGCCTGTAATCTCAGCATTTTGGGAGGCTGAGGAGGGCAGATCACCTGAGGTCAGGAGTTCAAGACCAGCCTGGCCAACATGGTGAAACACCATCTCTACAAAAATACAAAAATTAGCTGGGCATGATGGTGAGTGTCTGTAATCCCAGCTACTCAGGAGGCTGAGGTGGGAGAATCACCTGAACCCTGGAGGCAGAGGTTGCAGTGAGCCAAGATTGTGCCACTGCACTCCAACCTCGGGGACAGAGCAAAACTCTGTCTAAAAAAAAAAAAAAAAAAAAAAGGCCAAGCCTCCTTCACAAGCTTCTCCTCTTGAAGTTTCCAATACTTTTTTATGTATTAACAGATCCATGACTTATGGCCAAGGTCAAAGCACACAGAGCATCGTGGTGCTTAGGAAATTTCTACCCCCAAGACCTTCCAGTTGCAGAGAGAACAATGTATCCAAATAAGCCATAATGGGGGCAGAAAGCAAACGTTATCAGAGAAACATAGCTAGCAACGATTGCTTTCCTCCTGCCTTCTCAGACACTGTTTTGGACAGCCCCTCATTTCCAGAGTATTAGGATTAATCCTCTGAAATTACCATGTCTAGGGTTCAAAACGAATTTAGCAATTTCATATTGTTCAACTAGATATACGCCCAGAGAAGCTATGAGTCTTAAATCAATATTTTACTTCTAGGGAGTTTTAGTACCTTATGGTTTTAGTGTCCACCCTGACCCCTGGTATAAAACAAACAAAAACCCACATTCTCTTATAACATGACCTTCTGGAACATTTTCTTTTCCAAGGTTGTAAAGAAAGGATGGAAATAAACACTATACAATTCTAGATGTTAGAAGGCCTGGAAGCTCATCTTTATTTCTAACTATAAGGATATTATTAAGTTATTTCTAACTTAGATAGCTCATCAAACTTACGTTGGCCTCATGTCTTTTATTTTCAAAACCGGGGCATTTGGCAAAAGGCGTACAGTGGCTTCCAGCTCTGTCTTTCTACGAGTCTACTCGCCAGGAGAGAAAATTACCCTTTGCTTTGCCATTAGCCCTTTTCAAAGAGTGAGCATCAAGCACCAGCTCTCGATATACTCTCCTTGAGTAACTTAATGGTCTACGTTCGCCGTTTACTTTCTCTCTTTATTCTTCCCACACTCTCCTGGCGGCCCCGGTAATAAGTGACGTTCAGCCAATGTAACCAGAGCTACCCTTTGCTCATATTCACTGAATGTCTCAGAGGGAGAATTAGGAGGCAGGGCCAGATTTCCAAACTCTCAAACTGGTGGTCATTCCCACTGACTTGCATAAAAAGGGGGCATTCTACTGCTGTACAGAAGGGCGAGAGCACCAGCTTCCAGCAAGTTTTCTGACTCTCAATAGGCACCACCAGGAAAAGTAGTGAAGGTGGCAGCAGTAGCATTAGGTGTCCCTGATCTTTGTCAGGGACAGCCACGGCGCCATTCATACCTGGTCTGTTGGATTTGTCAGCTTGGATGCGTCCCAGACGGAATACAACAGCGCGTTCATACTCCTTAATGATCTAGGAGATTAAAGGTGAAGATTCAGTCCTGACGATTTGTCAGTTCATATAGAGAACCCAGTTTACCTCCCAGGGTGTTACCTTCAAGCACATCCATATAGAGATGGGGAAGGTAATGATCACCAACAGGAAAGAGAGGGAAAACAGGATCCAGCCACAGACGCCAAGCCGTTTATTGTTGACACCTAGGAAGTGAGAAGGAAGCAAATCTGTGATCGATGTGGTTCTTAAGAAAGCCACCAACTGCACGGCTGTGGAAACTATCCAGACAGCTGGCCAAACCTGACATGGCTGAATAGGAAACCTAAATCCATTTACACCCACGGATGTAGTTATACACACACACACACACACACACACACACACACACTCAAATGGTTACTTATTCAGGTTTTAAAAAATTAAAATGCCCATAATCCCAGCACTTTGGGAGGCCGAGGCAGGAGGATCACGAGGTCAAGAGATAGAGACCATCCTGGCCAACATGGTGAAACCCCGTCTCTACTAAAAAACACAAAAAAATTAGCTGGGCGTGGTGGTGTGCGCCTGTAGTCCCAGCTACTCGGGAGACTGAGGCAGGAGAATTGCTTGAACCCGGGAGGCGGAGGCTGCAGTGAGCCAAGATTGTGCCACTGCACTCCAGCCTGGCGCCTGGTGACCAAGTGAGACTCTGTCTCAAAAAAACAAAAAAAAAGTTAAAATGGACTTATTCCTTCCAAGAAAAATCTCGTAACGATAACAGAAATAATTACTATTACATTTTTATAGGGCTGCTATGATTTATTATTCTCAAAACACATAAACAATGGTTGCCAAAATGTAATCGCAGGACCATCCACACCAGAATCATCAGATGTCTTGGTCCTGTTTTTGAGATGAAATTCAACGCACCCTCTGTGGCAGGTAGGTAGGTACTATCATCCCCAAAGGGAGAGAGTGGGGCACATGGAAAAATATCCTGAAGAATTCTGAGGCATAAGTTTTTATGTGAGCTCTGTCACTTACCAATTCTAAGGCATTAGTATAGAAGGCCACTCAGTCTCTGGGTTTCCATTTCTTCATCTCTAGAATGGAGTTAGAAGTTACCCACCTCACAGAATTTGACGAGGATTAAGTAAGATTATTTTTATATGGCCCCTGGGCACACACTAACATCTGCAGTTTTAAGCACGTAATACTACTATTATTCCCATTTTCAGATGCACATGTATTCTAAGGACTTGTTGTCAGATGTTGGTATTTGCCATTGCTAACTTTTCAGAAACGTTTTGTGATATTGGCTCATCACATAAGATCTCTTCTTGCTAATCACACATAATGATAGCGGGTGAATTTGGCTTAATGAATATTGCTTTGCAATAAGACGAGACTGAGTTAAAATCCTACTTCAACCACCTAAAACTCTGTGGCTTTAATCACATCGATTATGTAACTTCTAAAGTTGCGTAATTGTTTATAACATAAGCAGGTCTGGCTGACCCTTTTACTTTAGAATTCTTTGTGGTCACCATTTGACCTCCTTTTATCTTTATTTATTTATTTATTTATTTATTTATTTACTTTTTGAGACAGAGTCTCATTCTGTCCCCCAGACTGGAGTGCAGTGGCATGATCTCGGCTCACTGCCAACTTCGCCTCCCAGGTTCCAGTGATTCTCCTGCCTCAGCCTTTTGAGTAGTTGGGATTATAGGCATGCACAACTGTGCCCAGGTAATTTTTGTATTTTTAGTAGAGATGGAGTTTCACCATGTTGGCCAGGCTGGTGTTGAACTCCTTACCTCAGATGATCCACCCACTTCGGCCTCCCAAAGTGCTGGGAATACAGGCACGACCCACCACACCTAGCCCATTTTTACCTCCTTTTAAATCCTTGTGCCTCCTTATTCCCTTCTCCTTGACAGCCACCCCCATTTTCATCCTCCCCCAGCTACTTTATGCTCTCCATACACTAGCACTAGACTAGATATCCCAGCCAGCTCATCCTAGAAATGCCATATACTGTCTCCATCTCAATTAATGCCTTCACCATCCACCCCACTGCCCGGGTTAGACAGGTCATCCTTACCTCTTCCCTATCCAACTGCAGGAAGTCACTAAACCTAAATAATACTACCTCAAATCCATCCTCAGTTACCCATGCTACTGCTACTGATTTTTTGAGACCTGAGCCAAATTCATGAATATTTAGAATTCTGGGCTTTTGCTCTTATAAATGACACTTTGATGAATGTTTTTAAATGTGTGTTTTTGTGCATTTGTGTAGGATAAATTCCTGGTAGTAGAAGCATTAGGTCAAAGGGACTAGTATTTGCAATTTTGAAACATGACAAATGCCCTTCAGAAGGTTGGTAGCAACCTCCACTCTTGCCAACATCATACATGTGTCTATTCCGACACGTCCTGTTCTCCTCGGATCATTTTAACCTTCTTAATTGTTATGCTGGTAGGTGAAAATAACTAAATTTTCGATACATATTTCGTATGAAAACTTTTGAGTACAAATGGCCTTTTGTAGGCTCCAAATACATATAAATATATATTCTAAACAATAAGGGCTTGCCTGAATACTCTGAAGTTTAAATTTCTAAAATATCACCTTCCAAAGCTTTGGGTCCACACAGAGGTGAATCAGACTCTCATTACACAAGATGGAAAGATACTATGTGCATTCTCATAGAATCTTCATCATATTTTATTAGTGCTTTTTTAGTATTAATAGCACAGCCTGTAGATACACATTCTCATTGAAAAAAATTCAAGCAATAGCACTCAAATTCCCTGAACCATCCTCTCCTGAGTCCCACTTTTATCTAGAGAAGTTCTGTAGTTCCCAGTTCGGTGTACATTCTTTACAGACCCACTTTACAAATCCAGTGTATTTACGTACAAATATCTGCATTTAGAAAGTATTGGCTTTGATGTGAACATTCTATTTTGAGATAAATAGCACTACACTGCACCCACATTGCTACTTTAACGTAATGTATTGTGTATATCTTCCATCTGCCTCAGTCTTCTTTACTGTTGCATACTATTCCTTCTTACACCTGTGTCTCAGTTTACTTACCATTCTCCTAGTGATCATTAAGGTTATTTGCAAGGCTGTAGTAACTGTGCTTATACATGTCTCACTGGGCTAATAGGCACTTTTTTCTTCTTTTTTTGAGATGGAGTCTCTCTCTGTCGTCCAGGCTGGAGTGCAGTGACGCTGCCTCAGTCCACCATAACCTCTGCCTCCCAGGTTCAAATAATTCTCTGCCTCAGCCTCTCAAGTGGCTGGAATTATAGGTGCCCGCCACCACGCATGGCTAATTTTTGCAATTTTTTTTTTTTTTTGAGGAAGGGAGGGATGAAGGAAGGGAGGAAGCGGGGAGGGAGGGAGGGAGGGAGGGAAGGGAAGGAAGGAATTCAAGCAATGAGAGAGACATTGTCGACCTGGATATAGAGGTTTACAAGTTGATTTCTTTTTTTTTTTTGAGTGAAGGAAAGAAGAAAAAAGTGAGTAAAGGAGAGGAAGAAGGAGGAAGAGAAAGAGGGAGAGTGAGTGGAAATATTGCTTTATTCTTAAAAAAAAAATGGGTATTAATAATGGCTAATCAATGTTTCATTTAAACCTATGAGTACGTGTGATGTGGTATTGACTAGAATGTTTATTTTGTGTATTTGAAGTGGAGAGCTCTATAAATATTTATTGTTTACTTGTTCCGGATCTGAGTTTGAGTCCTGGATATCCTTATTAATTTTCTGTCTCATTGAGTCTAAGTCTCTATGTATCTGGGTGTTAGGATTGTTAGCTCTTGTTGTTGCATTGATCCTTTTACCACTATATATTTGTTGCTTTAAAATCTATTTTATCCGATATGAGAATTGCAACTCCTGCTTTTTATTTATTTATTTATTTATTTTTGCTCTCCATTTGGTTGGTAAATCTTTCTCCATCCCTTTGTTTTGAGTCTTTGTGTATCCTTGCCTGTGAAGGCTTTGGCTGTGTCTTTTGATTGGGGGATTTAGTCGATTTAAATTTAGGGTTACTGCCATTTGATGTTAACTGGCTGTTTTATCCATTCGTTGGTGTAAATTCTTCTTTATGTTGGTGCTCTTTACTTTTTGGTGTATTTTTAGAAGGGCTGATACTGGTTGTTTCTTTCTGTGTGTAATGCTTCTTTCAGAAGCTCTTGTAAAGCAGGCCTGGTGGTAATAAATCTCTGAGTTCTTGCTTGTCCATAAAAGATTTTATTTTTCCTTCAGTTGTGAAGCTTAGTTTGGCTGGATATGAAATTCTGGGCTGAAGGTTCTGTTCTTTGAGGATGTTGAATATTGGCCCCACTCTCTTCTGGCTTGTAGAGTTTCTGCTGAGAGATCTGCTGTAAGTCTGATAGGTTTGCCTTTGTGGGTAACCTGGCCTTTCTCTCTGGCTGCCCTTAGTATTTTCTCCTTTGTTTCAACCCTGGTGAATCTAACGATTATGTGCCTTGGGGTTGCTCTTCTTGAGGAATATCTTTGTGGTGTTCTCTGTATTACCTGGGGTTGAATATTGACCTGCTTTGCTAGTTTAGGAAAATTTTCCTGAATAATTTCCTGAAGGGTATTTTCCATCTTGGATTCATTCTCTCCGTCACATTCAGGTACACCTATCAAATGTAGATTTGGTCTTTTCACATATTCCCACATTTCTTGGAGACTTTGCTCATTCCTTTTTATCCTTTTTTCTCTAATCTTTTCTTCACGTTTTATTTCATTAAGTTGGACTTTGACCTCTGATATCCCTTCTTCTGCTTGAACAATTCGAGTGTTTAAACCTGTGCATACTTCTCGGAGTTCCTGTATAGTTTCTTCAGTTCCATTAATTCACTCATACTCCTCTCTAAGTTGTCTATTCTCAATAGGATTTCGTCAAACCTTTTTTCAAAGTTCCTAGTTTCTTTACGTTGGGTTACAACATGTTCTTTTAACTCACCGAAGTTTGTTATTATCCATTCCTTGAAGAGTGATTCTGTCATCAGGAGGCGCTCGTTCTCCATCAAGCCTTGTTCCATTGTTGATGTGGAACTGTGATCATCTTTAGAGGGAGAGGCGTTCTGACTTTGAGTATTCTCAGCTTTTTTACGTTGGTTTCTTCCCGTCATTGTAAATTTATCCTCCTGTCTCTTTGAATTTACCAACTTTCAGATTAGGTCTCTTGAGT